TGGAGGGAGGGGGGGGGGGTGTGCTCACACTGTGCGTGCACCCCTCCTCTTGTGAACACTGTCTAGATTGCTTCCTGTTAATGCTGAATGGTGGCTGTCTAAACACATGGAAAATTACATTGTAAATGTGGATATTTGTTAAGGATGGACAGAGAAGCTTCTTTTTCCCTCCTTTCTGTATGTGATGTTGGCATTTACTAGAAGATACTGCTTGTCCGATCCATATTGCATGGCATGATACAAATTACTTGGGATATGCAGCAATTAGCACTTGGTTTCAGTGCTAGTGCTGTTCTCTCTGGAAGGCCTGACAGATGGTAGAAGTGAAAGCTTTCCCACCACCTTCCCCACTAGGTTTTGCTGCCAAGTAATTATTACTCTACCGATTTCTCCAGCGCCTTTTCCCTGTGGTGGTTACACACTGTATAACTTGCTAAACACCCATGACTAGTCTTACTGTGATGTGGTATGGCCACACGAGTAGGAATGAGACTCGACTCTACTCTTCCTTGGAAGAAGATAAAAGCAATAACTGTTTTTAAAGTTCTCACGAGCTGGCACATATTATCTGAAGAGATAATTTGCCTGTTTCCCATTTAGGAATCTCTTTTTAAAAAGAAGGAACTAGATGGAAATTATCACTGGATAATTTTTTTTGCTTGAAAATCAAAACCACTGCTTTTTCCAAGCCAAAGTAGTACTTGTTTTATACTTTTATATAAAAATATATATTTTTTAATAAATCCTCAGATACAAGCAGCAAAAGGTGCTTTCTCTGCATTGGATTCCCAAGTAATTCGCTATGCCTTGGTCTTCCTTTTTAAAAAAAAGCCTTCTCCTTGCTGAAGTGTTTGTATTTAATAACTTGTTACACATTTTTTTGCTTCCAGAGGATCTGGAAGACTCCTTTTCTCTATGTGTATTTATTTATGAAAGTAGGTTATTTGTAATTAATACTGCTGTTTGCTTTCAGACACATGTCTGGCAGCGAGGCTACTGCGTCGCTTTTTATTTCCTCTTTAAGCAAAAACTTCCTGTTGGTCTCCCAGATAAGAGGTTTGTCCAAGAAGGGCTGCAGCAGTTGTCCTGGGCTGCTTCAGGAATTCTAGCTATGTCTAGAAGTGGAATTATTTTGGAATGCAGTTCTTTTGAACACAAATTGAGACAGATTTCAAGACTCATGGAACGAAACTTGACCTCCCCTTTGTAGCTGACACTGTGGAATAGAAACCTGGGGGTTTGAAATTGGACAGGAGTGAATGCGACAATACAGTGGAACTGTGCCTGGGCTGACATGGTCTCTCACACCCCAGCCTCTGCCTCAGGTTATCCCGATGTATTTACAAACTGTGGGATGTGTTTACTACAGAGTTAGTGTGGCCAGAATGTGTTTACTACTGAAGCAGCCTCCTGAAGCACATGGGACTGATTCTTCACGTCAGCACCACCACAGCAGAATGTGTTGACAAGGTTACCTGTGGTGTTTGCATTCTGAAAAATAGCTATAAAAAAGCCAACCTGCTGGGCTTTCTTCCCAGCAACAGTCTTGGTTCACAGGCAGAAAAGAGCTTTTCCATTTGCTGTATTCACAAGTCCTTGTGGCATACCGAGGCCAAACTGGATTTTCTCTAGTTCTGTTCTTACATTGTGCTTCAAATATACTCTATTCCTGATGTAAATCTGCTGATGGTGAGAGTTGTGACTGCAGTCCCGCAGGTGCTTATTCATGGAAGGACTAGAAGGCATTCATGAAGCACCCTTCCAAATCATGAAATCTTGGTAGTATATTCCATCCTTACAGGAATACTTGGGGTGGGGAAAAAGACTCTTAAAAGCCCTCAGTAAAGGAAGAAAACCTGACTATTCACACTAGAGCAAAGGGTGCTGTGTCAGGCTTAACAAATACTCTCCTGTCCATAAACTGAGTATTTAAAAGTTGCCATGTTATTTTGAATGGAAGTCCAGAAAATGTATTTTCTAAGTTTATTTTGTAAAGTTTCTTGCTCTCCTGGATAAGTAGCTGGACTTTATTCTGTGGATTTTTTACTGAGTGAGAGAAGTGTGTGGAGTTCTGTTTGTTTAAGAATTGCAGAATTAGAAGCTGGTGGAACAACCTTCTTAACTTTCTCAAGCTGATAGGTTCTGAGCTAATGGTGCTGTTATTACAGCTGCTTTTCTGACTGTTTTCTGCACTTTAAGCCATGATATTGAGTATGTGTCTCATTTTCCACCTGTGGAAATGGTCGTGAAAGTTACACCCTGGGCACAGTCTCGCAGCTGTGTGCCAGAGAAAGTAATCAGACCTGAACAGATGGATCTAAACATTGAGTGCACTTAGAATTTTTTTAATCCCTTATTTATACTAATGGTGTTATACATTTCCCTCAAGCCTTTCAAACATTGTTTATTGTATATCTCTTATTTAGGTATAAAATACTTTAATGAAATAAAATTACTCTGTTGTTGCTGGTTATTTGTTACCTAGAGGCCTAAAATATGCTTGTTTTCTCTGTATCTCTTACCTCTTCAGCTATAGTGTGCTAATCCCATATATTTCTGAGGATGCCTTAATGCTTAGTTACTCATTTCAGTCGTAACATGAAGATAAAATTTCCTGTTCACACAGACAGGTACAAAGAATATAATTGAAATGCTTTTCCTACTGTCAGCCCTGCTTAAATCTTGGGACTAAGCAGGTTGTATTGTTATTCTCGGAGTGCTCACACAGACAAGTAGGTTATCTTTCAGCCTGGAAAAGGGGAAGAGGCAAGGGACCAAATGAACTGTAAGCAAGAGGTGATGCTCAGAAGCAGGCATTAATTAGGTGAACTAATGACCCCCTTGCCTGGCCAGTTTTTGCCAGCCAGCTGCAGTGCCACCTTCCTTTGGTCTTGTGCGTGATGCTTGGAAGTGGTGCAGCTTTACATGGCTGGTGCCTGGTCCTTGCATTGGGTGGAACTGGAGCAGCCAGCGCAGTGCTGTTGAGTGCTTTGAGTCCAGCACATGGCTGGCCAGGGAGCAGAGCCAGGGTGAGATCCAGTGCTTGTGGGTTAGGGAGGAAACCCAGGGTAATGTTAGGAAAAATGCACGGAGAGAGCACGAAAAATGGTATTAATAAAATTATATTAACTAAAACATGATCCATTACAACTTTGAAAGACATTTTGGGTCAGAGGTATATAACAGGACAAGTTTGGGGGGAGCAGGAGGGGAGAATTACTTTGACTGTACTTCTGTAGAGTTTTCCTTTTATAGCATATAATAGAGACCTTGATCCAAACAGGAGTGTGATTTCTTTACAGAGGAGATGGGAAAAGAGTCACCTTTTCCTTTCCAAAATAAGGGGCAGTGGGAGAAGGCTTCTGAGCTAAGCCCATGCCGGGGGGTTCGAACCAGCTGATCTTAAGGTCTTTTCCAAACCAAACCATTCTATGACTCTACATGAGCAGCCTCGAGGGAAAAGTGAGGGAAACAAAGACACAATACACCACAGTGTGGATATGAGACTCATTTGAGTAACTCACTCATGATTGTGTTCTTATCATGCATCTTTTTTCTCCCTTCAGCATCCGGTTATTCATTTTGGCTGTCATCAAACATCGCCTGGGCTTCTGATAAGACACCATCTGGATCAGCCAGTTCGATCTAAATAGAGAGAATACAAATCTCTTATGCAGTGTAATTGAAGAAGCTTAAGGTTTTATAGATCTTGATTACTCGAGCAGTAACAGAGCAGCTCCCATCTATTATCATTTTGTATTGCAGCCTTTCAATTGCTGTTCTAGAAACATGCTGTACTTCCCTAATTTTATTGGCATGTTGAACATCACTTCATCTTCTTGAAATAGCTCTGTGTGGAGGGGACCAATTCTCCTTTAACAAAAGATATATTCTTGGGCAGAACTGGCTTTGATTTGTAGCCTGTGGGTCTCCCCTGTAGTTTTAAAAGGTAATGGCAGTCACCCAAGTGAGCATCAAGGCTCCTGTTAAAGCAGGAGTCTGGAATGGAGTAACCTGAGTGTGACTGGATGCAGATTCTTAAGGGGGAAGTGCCAAAGCCCTGCAGGACCTTGTCATCTTGCTCTGACCTGCTTTTATGTCCTGATGCTTTCTGAGGGGTTTGTGTGTGGTGGTCTTCCAGGCGGAACATGTCCAGGTTTTTTCTCATTTATTTTGTTAGGCTTTCTGAAGCCTTGGTTTCAATAATTATAGCAGCAAATATCGCCAGCCCACCATGTTATGTGTTTCCCCATACCTGCAGTGTTTAAGTTCTGCCTCCATGCAGTCCCATCATCTATGCACTGCTACCTGCAGTGTTTAAGTTCTGCCTCCATGCAACCCCATCATCTATGCACTGGATTCCTTCACAGCTGATGACATTTGCTCTCTAGTTTTCGGCATTTTCTGCCCTGTGCATCCCCACTATTTGCTCCTTTTTCCTCCAAATGAGGACACATGCTGATGCTTCTCCCATGCAGAAGCTCAGATCCTCACTGTTAGCCTCTTGCAGGCAAACGCTATTTAGTGCATCTCTGGTTTTGGCAGTTTCTAACATTCACCCTGCTCATTCTTCAACAGCTGCTTGTGACAGTAATTTAACAATGGGTTTATGAAAATCTGAAGTCAATTTTCCCCCTTTTGTCTGTTACTTCCTTCACATTCTGAGATCAATAAATCTCTTCCACTGGAAAGCTCAATAATGGCAAGGAAAGCTGATGCTTTCATTTTGCTCGTAGAGCAGAAGAAAAGTGGGTCATAACTTGATCTCTGTGGAGTTAAATAAGCAGCCTGGGTTGAGCATCCTGCCTTGGCAAAATACAGACTCCTCCCAGGCTGTTCAGTGGGTTGTTGAGGCTGTTCTTGGGTGACCTTTAACAAATCTTATCAGATAAGTATTTTTAGCTGCAGGAGTAATGCTCCTTTCACTCTTTTTGCAAAACAGAGATTGTTTTGTCCCTCGGTGAGTATTTGGTGCTTGTTATTCTGTGCTGCTGTGGGTGTGCCTAGTACTTACAGGATTAGCTGGCTTGTCAAAAATGTCTGTGCTCAAAGGGCCCTTGCTATAGAAACCAGCCTTGAAAAAAGAAGTGAAGATGGAACAGCTGTGAGCTTTTCACAGGCTGTGTGTGCTCAATATCATTTGCAACAACCTTATTCCTGGAGCAGATGAGGGAGGGAGGTAGCTGTTACCTGCCACAGGGCCGTGCCATTCCCCTGTTACGGAGTAACTGTTCTAGTTATCCAGTGTGGTTCTGCTTAGCTCTAAGCAAACAGGAGCTTCCCCACCCGTATCCTGCAGTAACCATCCCTTGGAATATAATGCCTGTTTCACATGTGCAGCACAGCCTGTAGGGATTCAAGCTGAGGCTTTTGGCCAGCTGTGTCAGTTGGAGCCCTGTCTGTTCCCTACTGATCCCAGTCCCTGCTCTCCTCTGAGGGCACGGAGCTGGGGACAGGCTCTCCTGTCTGATCCTCTCACTCCTGCAGAAGAGTGGTGTGATGGCCCAGCATTCCACATGCCTTACAGGGACGAGGCAGGACCAGCTCTTCCTCTGCAGCCTCTGTCAGCCTTAAGGGAAAAGGGGAGTGCAGGCTGTTGGCTCTCAGACATCTGAGATGTCTCCTCAGGGTAAGGTGGGCAGCTACACGCACCCCTCTAGCCATGGGGCTGCTGGATGCGGGTGAGCCCCTGATTCTGGGTGCCCGGGTAAAGGAAATAGCTGATATTGGCACTGCAGCCACACACGTTTCAGTTCGGTCTCGGCTTTAGCACTTTGGCTTGGTGAAACCATCTGGTTTTGACATAAATCCCACTATTGTCTCTGCCTCTATTGTCCCCGTTTCCTTTGTGCTGCTCCAGGTCTCTAAGCAGCTCTGGTGCATGAGAACTGCATTTTTTCGGATGTAGGTGAGTGGGAGGCTCCAGCAGTGGCTGGATGAGCTGTTTGTCCCTACGGGGCAATTTAGGACACTGCTGGCCAAAAGACACTGAGCACACGCCCCATGAGCTGGGAATCCCATGGGAGTGATCACCTGAAGAGTGCAATGCTGCCTGGAGAGCTGACCCAAGCACTCAGGAATGCAACATTACCAGCAAAACCACGATTTCCAAACAATTACCTTTGGGATTGGATATTGAGGAGGAGCAGGAGCTTCATCTCTGTTGAAGTCAGTCACAATTCCACATTTTGGTACATTTGCTGTCCAGATACCTTCCAACAGCTGCCCCTTATCCACGTAGAAAAATTTCCCTGGGCCATGCTTTTTTCCATTTTTCCAGCCTCCTTCGTACCGATCTTTATTGGCTGCAATTAAATACATGAACAGACCATGAAATTTGCACCATTTCATTAAGAGGCTACAAATAAAATCAACCAACACAGGATAAGGGACAGAAGAGGAAATCTGCTTGGCTCCTCTTAGTAATTTTAAGGGGGCTCTATTTGCTGGGCCACAGAGGGAAGAAAGGCTGTGGAAGGAGCCCACACTTGCCTGCTTGGAACACAAACTGTGTTCACCCGCTTTGTTCTCCTCACAGTGGTATTAATTTTTTTGCTGATATATGGAGCTCAGGGTAAGGGAGTAGTCACTGAGTCACTCTTTACAACATGAGAAATTATAGGATGTAGTTTCAGATTTGTCATTGCAACAAATCATGCAGGACCTCTGGCTTGAAGAGGTTTGCTTGTCTGGGCACGGAACAGCAGCACTGTCTGACTGTTGTCCAGTCAAAATAATCTTGATTTCAAAGAATACTTGTAGTTGTGTTTTTCCTCAATGAATTACAGGGCAAGAACTGCTGAGTGTCTGAATGGTTCAGGCAATCAGTTACAGGCTCTTCTTCCAGCTGTACTGCTTCTCCTGGTGTTTGTCTGCAAGTTGAGAGAGGATTTTTTGAGGCTTTGTGCTGCTCTGCAGGAACCCATCCATCACCAACAGGTAAAGCAGAGCTGCAAGGGGAAGAGAGCAGCCTCATCCAGGGATGCTGATTGAGAAGGGGCACCCCAGCCATGGTAATGCTTGGGCTGGGATACATCCAGGCCACCCTGCTGTCACTATAAGAGTCCTCTGCTGTCCCCTTCTTCCAAGTACAGTGTTCCTAAGTCAAAAGCCATGGGGATTTCTGACCAAGTTACTTAGTAAAAAAGAGATTTGGTTCTCACCTGAACTTGGCCATTCTGTGTGGCAAGTGCAGGCCAAAACACAGGGCACCCCCCACAGTGCCACAGAGGTAGCTGGGGACTACCAGAATGCTGTAAGGGAAGACTGAAAACCAAAAATGCTCCTGGGGAGCGCGGCTGCCGGGCTCCTCAGGCTGGGGCTGGTTTACAGGTTGGAGCCATGGCAGTGGTTAACTTCAGCCTGCATTTGGTGGTGTGCTTATCTGCAACACCAACCTGCCCTGCCCGCTGCAGGGAGCAGCTTCTGCTCTCCAGCCACTGACAGGTCAGAAACCACCAAGATCACAGAGCCAGCTGTGATGGAGGGACCACTGGATGCCCTGGCTGCACCATGGCACCTGCCTGCTCCCCTCCACTCTCCTCCTAGAGCATCCAAGAGCTGCACTGCTCACTACTGAGCTCCCTGCTGATGTGCAGTGTTCTGGTTTAAAAGCCATCTGGCACTGGGCTGTAGCAGAGCAGTGCTCCCAGCCAAGCTCACCCTCGCCAGGCACGCTGCCACTGTAAGCAAGTCAATCTTGAGCTGCAGCTCATCGTGACCTCCACTGAAGAACTCAGTTCCTTTCACCATCTCAAAGCTGCCGGCACGTGGGCACACTTCCAGCAGCTGAGCTGAATACACTGAGGTTGTGGGTATGAAATAATTGCTCTGGCTAATTTTAACCAAAACGAATCTAGCTTGCAAGTGGCTCCAGGCTAAGCTGGAGGCAACCAGGCTCTGAAATGGTTCATCAGCTGCAGCTCAGCCCGCAGGGGTTTTAAGTTTATAGCAGTGACTTTGATGGGAACAAAGCAGATCAGTGGAGGGGGTGACTCCTGGAAGCGGGTGCTGATTTCATCTGGATGAGCCATCAGTCCAAAGTGACTTTACAGTCAGCAGAGAGCGCACAGTTGTGCCTGTGATGTGCAGTCAAGGTCATGCTCATTCCTCCCAGCTGCTTTGCTTAGGTAATTACCAGCCTTGAGACCACTTTCAAGCAACTGATAGTATAGACGAATAATATTATGAAGGGAATTGTTATTCAGATGTCCCTCAAATGCTGAGCTTTGTATTGCAGAGGACTGGGATTCTTGGCTTTCTTTGCAGGAAAAATGTGTTAAACGCCATGCAAAACAAGGGTAAAAATAATCCAATTTCCTATTTTTATGCTGAGATTGCCCCCAACATTCCCAATCTGTGATGTGCTTGGTGTTATTTCTGGGAAGAGATTGTGTACTCCTGAAACCCCTGTGCTCACTCAACAGGAGACAGTGTCAGAAGTAAGAGAGGGGATGGAGTGAACTCAGAAAGAAAACTTTTTTTTCTGTGCCTGAAACTGGACTCTTTGGTATGCAGCAGTTAGAAAGTATGTCTGGCAAAGTGCCTGGCTTGAAATGGGAGATTTGCTCTTCTCTGCCCTAACAGTACATTATCTCTAACCCCAACCATCCCAGTCACTTAAATGTAAATCACAGCAAAAATAAGCTTTCAGGCATGTGGGCTTCAGCTGGCCCCTGCACAGCCTGTGCTGCCTCTGGCCTCAACCCAGGAGGGGAGGGACAATGGAGCTGCCACAACCCTGGTGCAAAGCTGCAGCAGGAGACATGATGTAGCATCCAGAAACCTGATGGCAGAGACATCCAGAGAGCAGCACCCAGCACCGTGACGGGGGCAAGCAGATGCCTGGGGTGAAGACGGTTGGTACTTACGCAGCCGCAGCATTCCCTGCCCACTGGGCCGGTCCAACAGCCACTGTCCCTCATAGAGGGATGAATCCAGGTAGTACATGCGTCCCCAGCCGCTCCGCAGCCCAGCGCTCCACTCGCCCTCATAGCGCTCCCCGTTGGGGTAGATCTGCAGCCCATAGCCCTGGAAATCAGCACAGAGATGGCTGTCAGGAGCCTCTGCATTGACAGGCTCAAGTTCAATTTTGGGATATCTGTCTCAAGACAGCTAAAGCAGGCTGAAGGCTGCCTGTGGTGAGACCAGCAGGCTCAGGCAGCGATGCCATGTGTGGCTCCCCCCAGCCAGGCCAGGCCCCATGGAGCAGGCATCACCCCAGCAATGAATATACCTTGTGATATTCCAAGAGACTGGAGCCATAGAGCTGCCTGCCAACTAGAAGTGTAAGAGGCTATTGATTTATTTTAAGAGCAGACACAAAGGTGAACACAAGAATCATTCCTACAAGGATTTTGCACATGAGATTGCAGTCATTTTACCAGATGACTTCCTCATTATGTTCCTTTTAGAAAAAACAGTGATTTATGTGACAGGCTTATTTTCCAAAAGAACTCATGTTATTTGTCTAATGTGCTGTAAAACTCCCAGAAAAACATATATTTTCCTGCAGTTCTTATAAACACAGGTTCCTCCAACTGCTTCAAGGATGAGGGGAATGAAAGGGATAGGTGGGGAGGGTTAAGACATGGAATATGAAAGCCCCATCCTGCTTGGCTGAGCTTCAGGTGAGTCTGAGCAGTGATCACTGGTCTGTGGCAGCTGGAGGGAGGTTGGGGCTGTAGCCTGATCACCAAGGATGGGTAGGATGAGTCCCTCCCCAGTGGGGACGCTGTGGGCAGTGCTGTGTTCTCAGCCACACTTGGCTGTTTATGAATGATGGATATCTACTCCTGAAGCTTCCCAAGCTTTCTGCAGGTTCAGACTAAGATTTAAAGAGAACCCAAGCCTGGAGGAAAGGCTGTTCCCATAGCTTCTACCCAGAGACATGCTGCTGCTTCCCTATTGCTGGACATGGGACACAGTGCAGCTCCTGCAGCATCTGACATGGAGAAGCAGAAGCAGTGAGTTGGGGAGGGCAGGAGGAGAGGGCTTAAATACCAGAGCTTTTGCTCTTGCTTTTATTTTCTTTTTTCCACCTATTTGTTCAGCCAAAGCAGTATTTTAAGTGATCTTTGTGGACACGTGCACCCGACTCTTCCCCATGTTTTGGGGGATGCTGCCTTAGTGCCAGCACGCGCAGGAAGTGTCACTTACACATTTTTTGTCGTTTTCCCACCAGCCTGTGTAGATATTCTTGCATTGCTTGGTTACTTATGAGCCATAACCATCGCGCTTCCCAAACTTCCAGTCACCGCTGTAAATAGCTCCAGTGCTTTTCCATATCTGGATGCCTTTGCCTGTTTACCAAACAAGAAGAGTGATGGGGTTGTTGGAAAAAGAGATTATGGGGCTGCCTTCCCACAGCTCCATCCCAGGCGAGGCCGCACTCCCTGCACCAAGACACGTTTATGTCTGGGATTCAGTTTAGCTTCCCAAGTCAGAACCATCATTAATCTTGATCAGGGGCTTCCTGTGTGGCCTTTGCTGAATGCACTTAAATCTTTCCCAGCCTCGCTTTACTGCTTGTAAACAAGCCTGTCCTGCTCTGGCTGCTCAGGGTCTCCTTCCCCTGCTCTGTCTCCTCCAGAACCTGCCACAGCTTGAGGATAAATGGATATTCCTGAAGCCAGTCAGGAACCAAGAGAGCTCCAGGGGCTGTGAAGCCAGGGCACATCCCAGAGCGTGGAGCTGACTGCAGCTTGCTGTGTTTGCAGAGGATTTTTAGATATTGTAACCTAGATATTTTGAGTGATTGCTCCTGAGTGCATGTAAAAGCTCTTTAAGTTACTGTTTAGAAGTATTTCTGAGTACATTTTTGCATGACATCTATCAAAGACATATATAGATACATGAATAAATGCTCTTCCAGGAGCATATACAACTGCTGACCACTCCCTGCCCGTAGGAACTTTTGTTAGGACACCTAAATTGGTACTTTTCCTCAAAATGATCTATCTTACCATGTTTCAAGTTGTCCTGCCATTCTCCAGTGTACCGATCCCCATTTACTTCATAGACTGTGTGTCTTAATCCACATTTCTCTGCTTTTGAGTCCCATTCATGCCAGAGAGGCTCTCTAGTTCTGGGCTTTTTTACAACAGGCATATTGTTCCTGGCTGGAGAGGAAAACAATCGTCAGCAATAAATTAGAGAGAAATTACTAAGGCAGGTAACAGGCAGAACAGCCTATTTGTGAGCTCTGTTTCAATATTCACCTGAGTCAGTAACTGATGTCTGGTTTTGGAGGGGTAGAGATATAACAAACAGAAGGTATCTAAAGATACCGAAGTACAAACCAGCACTGTCTGAAAACAGGCTCACAACATAGCCTGGCCTGTTAGATGTTAAATAAGTCTCAGCAGGTCAAGTCTGTGGTGGGTATTGATCTCTGTCCCTGCCAGACACCTTGGGAAGCACAGGGAAGGGCAGCCTCTTCTCCATGCAGCTGAAACCTTCACGGGCTCCTTCCCATGGCTGCTACTCCAATGGCTCTGCATCAAGCAGGAGCAGTCATTAAATCAAACTGGAAAATGATTTGTTTGCTAGGAAGTATCTCAGGCCATTGGAAAGCATTCATGAGATGGAGCAGGTCAGAGAGTTGGCCAGTGTGCCTGGGTCCCACCGGGAGCTGGGACACTTCAGATGCCCAGCAGCAACATAGCTCAAGCTCTTTTACTGCTAAAAATATCAGCCCTGCAGGTGACTGGTTAAGAGAGGTCAAACCCACAATGTTTCTATGTACCAGGAAGCTGCAGCTTGCCCAGGGCAGGACAAGCAAGCTGCCAAGGAGGCAGATTCTGAAGTGATGTGGGGTTTAAAGCATGAACAGCACACAGGGAATGAGTGGCACAGGTGGGAGGTAATTTGAGTGTTGGAAGTCTGCAAGGAAAAGATCAGCATTAGGGAAGAGGATGGAGAAGACGTTTAGTCCCATCAGTACAGAGAGGACAATGGGGGATGTCCTTTCTGTACTCGACAGTGGCAATGTCTGGGCACTGCTGGTGGAACAAGTCGCTGTTCAGCACAGTGGGAATGCGGCACAGACTCGGAGGTGAGACTGGTCTCCTACAGATCATAAATAAAATACCAAAAGGCGGCTGTAGAAACAAACAGCAAGATTCTCTGAACGCCACCAACACCCAGAGCGTGGCTGCAGCTGGCGGCGTGGGATGCTCTCCGATTTTGTCTCCTGGGCTCCCCCTTCTGTCCTGATCTGCTGGACTGAGACACTGTCGTGGTTTAAGCCCAGCCGGTAACTCAGAACCACGCGGCCGCTCGCTCACTCCCCTCGCTTCTTTCTCCCCCCGCTCCCGGAGGGATGAGGAGGAGGAGAAACAAAAGAACGCAAATCCCACGGCTTGAGATAAGAGCAGTCCAGTCACTAAGGTATAATACAAACCACTACTGCTGCCACCACCAACAATAACGATAAGGGAAAATAACGGAGGGAGTGAATACAATTGCTCACCACGAGCCGACCACCACCGAGCCAGACCCCAGCAACGATCTCGTCCTTCCGGGTAACTCCCCCCAGTTTATATACTGGGCATGACGTTTGGTGGGATGGATTATCCCTTTGGCCAGTTTGGATCAGGTGATCTCTGTCTGTTTCCTCCCGTCTCCCCCTGCTCCCTGGCACAGCCTGAGGCTGAGGAAGCGCTTGGTGGGAGTAAACATAGCTGAGCAACAACTGAAAACATCGGTGTTATCAGCGCTGTTCCCAGGCTGAAAGTCGAAAACACAGCACTGCACCAGCTACTAAGAAGGAAAAATGACTGCTGCTGCTGAAGCAAC